CACACTGTTCTATCACGTAAGTCTGTCTCAGAAAAAAGTAGAATTTTGGGAAAGAAATTCCTACGACGATTCTTTATAAAAATACACACCCCATGCCCCCTGTGTACCAACCCTGTCTCTCCCTTCTATATACAACAGTGAACTAACATTTGAAAGCATCACTGAGAACACGGAAAAGAAGGATAATGCTCACATTTAAGGTCTAGGAAAGATACGAAAAAATAACCCTACAATAACTCCTCCCTTCTATTCCCTCAGGGCAACTGCTCTATTGTTTAACTGAAACAGTAACTTACATTGAGCTTAAGGATCTCCATGTGTAAAGAAGATGGCTACATGTAGCTGTGCCAGAATTTCCCTGGCCACAGCGCCAGGTTATCTGCCAGCCCCGACTCCCTCCCTACCACTCGCTCCATACGTAGCTGGAAAAAAAAAAAAAAGCAGTATGGAAAGTTCTGCTTCCCAAAAAGAACCATTCAGATATAAAGCCTGTATTTTAAACAATTATGGTCAGTGGTTTGGGGGAAAAAAAAGAGAAAGAAGGGCATAGGAAAAAGGCAGAGAATATAAACAGCCTGGTCCGGAAAGAACAAGCTGCATCAGCTTGGCAAAAAGCAAATCCTGTATATTTTTTTCTCTAACAACATCATGGACTTTCCATATTTTTGCACCACCTGACACACAAGGCCGACTGCGGTTGGGTCGCATTCTGTCTCCCCTTTAGAGACGATGGCATCGTTCGCTCTGCTCAGCCCCAGAAGACGAACCAGCTCCTCTGAGCCGTCCTGAGGAAGAAAGGGAGCAGCGGGGAGCGCCCCGACAGCGAAGGGAAAGGGGCAGCTGCAGGGAAGAGACCAGAGGGCAGGGCTCGGTATTGGCACTCCAGGTTGCTAAGATGGAGGCAGTTCTCTTAAAAGCATCCGTGTGGCCAAGTTGAGAGAGTTGTGACCTTCGAACTGTATCATGAAAGGTACCGCACCACAGTGCTGAGCGTAAGCCATCACCCTTAATGCAATTCAACAGCTCGCAGCCTGGCAGAGACAGTGGTCTGGTTAAAAATGGAAGAAAAAAGACTCTATAGGACAATTTTCTTCCAAGAAAAAGACTCTGGATGGAACACCTATTTCACTGCACTGCGAAGGAGAAGAAATCACTGAAAAGTAGCTAACGGAGAAGAGAGCTACTGGGTAAGACACAACCGCCTTTCCTCATCCCATGGAGTCCGGTGATGCCTCCCAAACCAGTAGACCTGCGCAAAAACCATCCATCACCACCCTCTGAGCCAGTTTCCTGCCCCTCTCGCAGACCCCCCAGCCGGTCTGTGTCTTCCCAGCTTATCCAGGAGAAGGCTGTGGGAAACAGCGTTGAGCACTTTGCTGACACCCAGGCAAAAGAACATCCACTGCTTGCTCTCCCACGTTGACAGAAAATGTCATTTTGTTGTAGAAGGTGGCCAGGTTGGTGACACGGTTTACCTTCGGCAAATATCCGTTGTCTTTTCCAGATGGGTGTTGTACCTCTGTTTAAGAGGGTTGAGTGACACATACTGGTAACTACGGATGTGACTAGCTAACATCAGAAGATGACTCACTAGCAGATGGCTTGGCCAGCCCTCTGTTAACAGAAGGCTGACAATGTGGTCTTGTGTACCAAACTGTAAATGACAATCTTGTCATCTCAAAACAAACAGACTGTAGAAAAAAAACCCATCTTAGAATAGAATAGTCCAGTTGGAAGGAACCTGCAATGATCATCTAGTGCAACTGATGACCTGTCCACTTCAGGGCTGACCAAAAGCTAAAGCATATTATTCAGGGCCTTTTAAACACTGCCAGGCTTGGGGCATTTACCACCTCTCTAGGAAACCTGTTCCAGTGTCTGACCACCCTCTTGGGAAAAAATGCTTCCTAATGTCCATCTGAACCTCCACTGGCACAGCTTTGAACCATTGCCACGTGTCCTGTCACTGAATCCCAGGGAGAGGAGGTCAGCACCTCTCTCTCCAGGTCCACTCCTCAGGAAGCTGTAGAGGTCAATGAGGTTGCCCCCCAGCCTCCTTTCCTCCAAGCTAGACAAACCCAAAGTCCCCAGCTGCTCCTCACAGGACATGCCCTCCTGCCCTTCACCAGCTTTGTTGCCCTCCTCTGGATGCATTCAAGTACCTTCACATCCTTCTGGAACGGTGGGGCCCAGAGCTGCACACAGTGCTCAAGGTGAGGCTGCACCAACGCTGAGCACAGCGGGACGATCCCCTCTCTGGACCGGCCAGTTGTGCTGTGCTTGATGCTCCCTGGAGTGCAATTTGCCCCTCTTGGCTGCCAGGGCACCCTGCTGGCTTCTGCAGAGCCTGCTGCCAGCCAGCACCCCAGCTCCCCTCTGCAGGGCTGCTCTCCAGCCCCTCCTCTCCCCGTGTATACTTGTGCCCAGAGTTACTGTCCCAGGTGCAGAATCGGCACTTGGACTTGTTAAATTTCATGCCATCGATGACTGCCCGATGCTATCCAGATCCTTCTACAAGGCCTCGTGTTCCTCAAGACAGTCCACAGCACCTCCCAGTTTGGTATCGTGAGCAAAACTGCTAATGGGGCATTCATCTCCTCCACCCAGATCACTGACAAAAATATTAAATTGCACTCTCCCTAGGACTGAGCCCTGAGCCCGGCGTCGGCCAGATGTAGCCCCATTCACTGTTACCCCTTGAGCCCTGCCACCCAGACAGTTCTTCACAGAATCACAGAATCTTCTAGGTTGGAAGGGACCTTAAAGATCATCTTGTCCAACCGTCAACCTAACTTTGACAAAAACAGACACCCGCACAACAAACAAGGAGCATCATCACTAAACCAGACCTCCCAGCCCTACATCAACCTGTCTTTTGAACACCTCCAGGGATGGGGCCTCAACCACCTCCCTGGGCAGCCCATTCCAATGCCTGATAATCCTTTCAGTGAAAAAATTTTTCCTGATATCCAGCCTGAACCTCCCCTGGCGTAACTTGAGGCCATTTCCTCTTGTCCTGTCGCCTGTGACTTGAGAGAAGAGACCGACCCCCACCTCTCTACACCCTCCTTTGGTAGAGAGCAAGAAGGTCTCCCCTCAGCCTCCTCTTCTCCAGGCTGAACACCCCCAGTTCCCTCAGCCTCTCCTCAGGAGACTTGTGCTCCAGACCCCCCACCAGCTTTGTTGCCCTTCTCTGGACCCGCTCCAGCACCTCAATGTCTTTTTTATGGTGGGGGGCCCAAAACTGGACACAGTACTCGAGGTGGGGCCTCACCAGTGCTGAGTACAGGGGGACCATCATCTCTTGGGTCCTTTTCTGCCAGGCAGCTCCAGCCACTCTGCCCCCAGCCTGTAGCGCTGCAGGGGGTTGGTGGGACCCAAGTGCAGGACCTGGCACTTGGCCTTGTTGAACCTCATCCTGTTGGTCTCAGCCCATCGCTCTAGCGTGTCCAGGTCCCTCTGCAAAGCCTCTCTACCCTCCAGCAGATCAACACTACCACCCAGCTTGGTGTCGTCTGCGAACTGACTGAGGGTGCACTCGATCCCCTCGTCCAGATCATTGATAAAGATGTTAAAGAGAACGGGTCCCAGCACCCAGCCCTGTGGGACACCACTCGTGACTGGATGCCAGATGGTTTTGACTCCATTCACCACCACTCTCTGGGCCTGGCCTCCAGCCAGTTTTTAACCCAGCAGAGGGTATTCCCATCCATGGGCAGCCACTTTCTCCAGGAGGATACCAGCGCATCACGTACCGGCTCATCCCACAGTTGGACAACTCGTCTAGCAGGATGCTGTGAGGGACAGTATCAAAAGCCTTACTGAAATATTTACTAAAAAATACTCAGACTGAGGAAACAGAGATATTGCTGGGATCTGTGGATGATGAAGCAAGATCCCAAGTCAAACGGATTGTCCTATAATAAACAGTGACTCCCAAGCGGTGTAAGAGACCCACCCAAAGATCCCTTATCCTCCCACAAGTGTCCCCAGCCAGACTGTATGGACATGCAGCACAAGCTCGAGAGGGCAAACAGCGATGAGAGAATGCACGTGAGTCAAATCAGCCTACTTTAAAAATAAGATCACACTCCCCTTCCACCAGGTCTTGCTCTGACTTCTGATACTTTCCTACACCATCAGCTTCTTTCCCTTGGCCTCCTGCTTGAGTAAGCCTGGTTTTTTTATGCATCTCTCACCATCAGGGATCCCCTCAAATGCCCAGTAGGCTGATTTCATTTTCCTACTATTTTGTTTTCCCAACTATCGCCAGATTTTCCAAGCTGCTTGTGGGTAACAGCTGCCTGTACCGTTTGGTGGCCTCACCGACTCAGGCAGGGCACTGGATGTGGGCACCAGCCTGCCCACTGGCTGGGGATCCTCAGAGCCTCCTCCCCCAGGGCAAGGGGGCACCTCAGGAAAATAAATTAGTACTGGTATGCAAAAAAAAAAATATCTCTTTTGCCTTAATGCACAGTGCAGAGAAAACTCTGGGTGACTTTAAAATGACTGTCATTATCTCCACCCAGGCTAATTTTGTTCAGTTTGCTCATTGTGATGGATACAGATTTTACGTAAAATCATTAGGGTAACAGGTCTTGCCCTCTGTAAGAGCCAATCAGGAAGACAAGGGAGACTGGAAGACAAGGAAGCAGGAAGTAACTGCCAGACAGGTGTAAGATCCCTTCCCTCAGCCTGGCTGCTGGTATTTCCCCTCCAGCTGACAGCATTCAGCAGCAGTCCCCAGGACAGCAAAGCTGTACCTGCACGCTGGACCTGGGACACCACTGGTGCCTCCTGGGGACAGCCTGCAGGTGGCAACACTGAAAAGGCCACAACCTGATGTTGTCGTGGGCTTTTGGACAAGCATATTAGCTCAAAACAAGTGAGGAAGAGCATCCACAGGTTCCAAGGGAGAAAATGCCTTCTCTGGCTGGTGAAACGTCACTAATAAATCAGAGCAAAGCAAGGGGAAAGAGAGCTGGAATATCCACACACAGTATCTGCACACTTGGTTTTATAGGACATAGGAAACCCATGTGGTTAAACCCAGCAGCGTGCTCTTCCTCAGAAAGAGCAGGCACCACTGAAAAGAGAAACCATGTTCCTTTACTTGTTCCATCACACTACAGAAATGCACCAAGGAACTCTCCATGTGCCTGCTTGATCCATCAGTTTGTTCATGGTTAAAATGCAGTTACTGAGCCAGAGATGCCACCCTCACGTGACGGTATCTGCTCCCTTCTCAGTGCATGCTGCTCTCAGGAGCTGGAGGGCAGCATCTTGTAGGGATTGAGGATCCCTTTGGGGTCTAGCATGGCTTTGAAACGCTGCATGAGAAGGACTGCCTCGCTGGGCTTGCTGTACTGAATGAACTGCTTTTTCTTGAAGCCCAGTCCGTGCTCTGCACTGATACTGCCATTGTGTCTTGCAGTCCACTCGTACACAAACGGCTCGATGGCATCCAGCAGGGAATGGCTATAGGACTCCGCCGTGACGTTCAAGTGCAAGTTTCCATCTCCTGGAAGAAAACGTTGCAGAGGTGGGTGTATAAGAAAAACTCAGTGGTTTATCTAGACAATAGACTTATTACTGTCTCCTCCACGCACTCAAACAAAGACACCTTTGTTTGTCTCCAAACTGTGCAGAGAAGTTCACTGTCCTTCTACAAATATCAAGCCTCTCCATGCACAAATAATTCAGGTATTTGTTCCTCCACACTTCCAGTACAATATTTGAGGAAGCGTTATGAGTTAAGTTACTTTCAAATTCTCACTCTTGTGATTTTAAAACCCAAACAACTGTGCTGCATTATTGTCCCACTACCAAAATGGCCTGGCAAAGACTTCCCCAATGCCATTTCATAATGATCATTAGATTTTAATACAGTCCCTCGTCACTTTCTGTCTCCTGATTATGTTTGTGCAATGTTCTAAGTGCACTTTGGCACTGTGTCAACAGGAACAGAGCAAGCAAAACATTTTCTACCTTTGCCACTTGTGTGTGATGGTATTTGATTGAGGACATAGTCGCTGGTTATTCAGAAGGTAGAACACACAAAGAAAAATACAACTTACTCATTCTCACTCTGGAACCTCTTCCTGCATCCCAGCAAACCCTTGCAGTACACAGGTTAAACCTCAATACCAAGAGTTAACAGAGGCAGCCTTTGTTTTGCAGGCTTGTCTTTCTGTGTCTTTCAAATCAAGCATGCTGAAGCGCGTTCTGTTCTTTTTTAGTTATTTATTTAACAGAACAGCTCTGTTAATCTACCAATTTACTTCACATGAAATCAAATTAGTTTCAAAGCATTCTGGCAAATGTACTGGCCCTTCTGTGCATTACCTTTATTATTCTTTTGGAAGGTTAATGGCTCAGACATAATTCATTTCCAATAAGACCAATCACTTTGGATAAGAGTGTTTATTTACCAACCGTGTTTAAGTACGTTAATCAAATTGATGGTCCAATTAAACATACTACAATACTACAGAGCAAGAAGATACAAACGATGAGTTCAGTGGCTGGCTGGCTAGAAACCTGCCATTTGCCTGCCCAGGGAAGTGGTGGAGTTGCCATCCCTGCAGGTATTTAAGAAACGTGTAGATCTGGCTCTTCAGGGCATGCTCTAGTGCCTGAGATTATTGGGGTGTGGTGGGGTGTTGTATGTGGTGCTGTTGGTTTGGGGCTTGGTTGGTGGGTGTTGTGTGGTGTTTGTTGTGGGTGTGGTGGTTTGTGGTTTGTTTTTTTTTTCTGTGTGGTTGGACTCAATGATCTCTGAGGTCCCTTCCAACCACCGAGATTCTGTGATTCTGTGATTAATATACTGAATGCAGTCCAAAAGCAACAAAATTCAGACACAAAGAACCTTATGCATCCTCCTGTTCTGCCAGCTCTTGGCTATTTAGTCTACGCCTCCCACTGATCTAAAAACAACCTTTAAAACTACTAGGAAGTTGCACAGCAAAACTCAGAGCACAGAAGAGCAACCACCTCCTTTTCCAGCATCTACACTTACCCAGGTGGCCGTAGCCCACCACGTTTTTGGCACTCCGCCCCAGCCGAGCCCTGGTGTCACTCACAAGATCATACAGCTTTCCCACAGGCAGAGAGATGTCGTATTTGTAGACATAGCCATCGTGAGTGAGGGCCTCTGTGATCCTCTCCCGCAGGCTCCACAGCGTCTGATGGACCAAAGATCGAAGAGATCCAAATAAACCAAGTACCTCTTGGGTTCCATGCTTTGTAGCAAGGAGGGAAAAAGAGCCTTGATTCTTTACATATAACATCAACTTCTGATTTCCTTCGATATCCTCTGACACTTGGAAGCTAGTTACAACGCTTTCTTGGCAGCACCGCACAGTACAGCGATACACCTACTCTTCAAGTTTGACACTACCCCAAACAGGAAGAACAAGGCATGGACATTCTCCCCAAACCTGTCTTGGGCTTCCCAAGAAGCAGGGATGTACCTCCTCCAGTTTATTCCTCCCAGACTCAGTTTGGGAACTGGGGCTGGAAGAAACATGGGTCAGTGTAAGAGACTCACGTTCACCGAGCAGACACAGATCGCTCTCCTCTCACCGGCGCACTGGGTGTCCCCCTTGTCCCACGAGACCCCAGTCTCTGGCTCTAGCACACTGGCCTACAGGACTCTGCTCACCCCTGGCCTCGCTGCCAACTGAGCTCCTGGTTCAGACAGTTTGCAGGCAGTTTGGGACCGACCCCAGAAACTACTGAAAGATGTAATTCATTATTCCGATCTTTTTTTTTACAAGAGAAAACATCCACCGAAATCCCCAACACTCAGGGCTTTCTGGGAAGAATCAGCAGTGTTAGCATTCTTACTCAACATGCCAAATAAGCTACCAGATCACTCAGGGACGTTTATACCAAACATTAGTCTGAACGTTTCCCTATTAAAAATACAAATCCAAGTACAGAATCACGTCCAAAAGATTTTCCCAAGAGGAAATGACAACTTGCCTTTATTTTCTTATCATCCGTTGCCACAGTTCCATCAGTGACCGAACCAGAAGTCATGGCCTGTTCCAGGAAGTTGTTCAATTTTTCTTCATCGTGGGTCGAGCTGGAGCCTGAAGTTTCAATTAAAACATAAAAAGGGCTGCCTGAAAGTGAGGGGAAACAGAGTAAGCAGATGCTCTGGGGTAAAGGCACAGGAATTTTGGGCAGGTTCTGGAGCTTTTCCCAAGCTTGGCACATTTCATGAGGTCGCTGTACTACCCAGATTCTCAGGTGCCATGTGGAAGTGCAGTTCAAGTGGCAATCTCTTCTCCGTAGGGACCTTCACTTACACACTCCATCCTTTACCCAGCCACCACTTTTCAGAAAACAAGCAATTTTGTGGCAAAAAGTAGAAGTAGAAAGTCTCACCATTAAAGACTCCCACCAAACGTATCTGTAAGTGAATACTGGGTATAAAAAATTATGAGGGATGTCCACACAGAACCATTGGGCTTCGAAGGGGCCTCTAGAGATCATCTAGTCCAACCCCCTGCCAAAGCAGGGCCACCCAGAGCAGGTCCCACAGGAACGTGTCCAGGTGGGGTTTGAATGTCTCCAGAGAAGGAGACTCCACCACCTCCCTGGGCAGCCTCTTCCAGGGCTCTGCCACCCTCACAGGAAAGAAGTTTTTCCTTGTTTTGAGATGGAATTTCCTGTGTTCCAGCTTGTGCCCATTGCCCCTTTTTCCTGTCGCCGGACAGCACTGAACAGCGTGACACCATCCTCTTGCCACCTGCCCTTTAGATGTTCTAGTCCCCTCATCATCTCTGTAGCCTTCTGCTGTCCCCTCTCCAGCAGTTCCCTGTCCTTCTGCAACTGGGGAGCCCAGAACTGGTCCCAGTGCTCCAGATGGGGCCTCCCCAGGGCAGAGCAGAGGGGCAGGATGACCTCCCTCCACCTGCTGCTCACACTCTTCTTGATGCACCCCAGGAGACCACTAGCCCTCTTGGCCACAAGGGCCCATTGCTGGCTCATGGGCATCCTGTTGTCCACCAGGACTCCCAGGTCTTTCTCCTCAGAGCTGCTCTCCAGCAGGTCAGCCCCAACCTGTCCTGGTGCAGGGGGTTATTCCTCCCCAGGTGCAGCAACCTACACTTGCCCTGGTTGAATTTCATCAGGTTTCTCTCTGCCCAACTCTCCAGCCTGTCCAGGCCTTGCTGGATGGTGGCACAGCCTTCTGGGGTGTCAGCCACTCCTCTCAGCTTTGTGTCATCAGCAAACCTACTGAAGATACACTCTATCCCTTCATCCAGGTCATTGAAGAATATGTTGACCAAGACTGGCCCCAGTACTGACCCCTGGGGAACACTGCTAGTTACAGGCCTCCAAGTGGACTCTGCACCACCAAACATAACCCTCTGAGCTGTGCCACTCAGCCACTCCATCCACCCCACTGTCCATTCATCTAACCCACTCTTCCTAAGCTGACATATGAGGACATTATTGGAGACAGGGTCAAAATCCTTGCTGAAGTCGAGGTAGACAATGTCCACTGCCCTCCCCTCATCCACCCAGCCAGATTGATCAGACGCAATTTCCCCCTGGTGAATAACACACTTATTGACATATACCTATATAGATATATAGTTACAGATAAAGCTAGGATAAAAATCCCCAAGCAGTACAATGTCTCTTTCTATAGCACAAATGACACTGGTACCTGCCACTGGGCTGGACAGCTTGAGATGTTTCTCAACCAATTCCATGCACTTCTCGTCCATGAACTCATAGGCAGATAGGATCTCCCCCAGCATGGCTCGGCAGGTTGTAAATGTTTCCAGAACCTTAGCAAAACTCTGACACCCTTCAGATAGAACACAGAGAGGAATCAGAAACAAAAAAATCACCCCCACAAAAACCTGTGTAAAACATTTTGAAATGTCTACCAGGCTTGAAGTCATTTCTCCCATCTCCAGAAAATATAAACTGCTACCCTGTGTGGGCTTAGATCAGCAGCTCCTCTAACAGCTGGAGCTGGGGAAGGTTTCAGAGCAGAACAGTAGGAGGATGTAGCAATTAGCCTCTGTTGTGGCAAGGACCTCTTGAACACTCTAAGCCAGTTCATACCAAAATGTCTGGTCCGCCCTCAGCTCTCAGCACAGACAAGGCAACCTGAGAGAAATTCACAGGCCACTGTGAGAGTCCAGGCAAGTTCTGAGGTCCACTGCACATATTCCACAGGTCTGTCAGCACTTGGAGTCTACTCTTCCCCTGCTAACAGTTTAGGTCTCTGCTCTGAAGGCCACACCTGATAGAAGCAAGCTGTTTGAGAAGTCCCAGCTGGCCTTGTAGGGAGACAAAAACAGCATCAGTAAAGGCTCCCCACAAAGAACTCTGCTAAAAAGCAGACGCAGAGACAGCTTTCATGCAGCTGTGCCTGGCCAGGTACCCTGCTGATCCAGACCCTGACCTGTAGACTTGACTTCCCAGCCTTGCCTTGTCACTACGGACTCACACAGTGACCGCTGGATTGCGACTGCCTCTGCCCACTGTCATCAGACTTGCCCTGCTCACCCAGCTCGGGTAGTGTCAGACCAGGCCATCATCCTGCCTGCCTCTTCATCCTGCTGCCCCTGATCCTTTCCCAGCCTCTGAATTCAGCTATGAAGTTATTAATATCAGCTCCCACCTAGGAACGCCAGATTCACAGACTTGGGTTTCTGAGGACACAGTATGGAGACAGCAGTGATAACTCCCAAGGTCCCCTCGGATCCGATGAAAAGCTGCTTCAAGTCATAGCCAGTGTTATCTTTGCGCAGAGACGCCAAGCAGTCCAGAGCTGAGCCATCAGCCAGCACCTGTGGGGACACAGAGACCCAGTCAAAGCACCTACATAGAAATCTGCTGACATAAGCTTGTCTTCTACCAAGCTGACAAAAAGCTGCCACTGGCCTTGAGCAGTGGACACCAGCCACAGCCCATTCCCACAGTTCCTTCATTCCCAGCTCTTCCTCTCCTCTAAATCCTACCTCTCTCAAACTTTTCTGCCTTTATTTTTTTTTTTTAACAGTGCTGTTTTGCACATGTTCCAGCAGGACAAGTAATAACAGAAGATCAAGTTTTCTCCACTTTTCATACCAGTGGTGGACAGGATCAGACGCTCTTTGCAGCCGCAACTCCCAGTATTCAATAGAAACAAGGAATACTATTCGAAACAAACAGTGAACACAGTCAACCAGAATGAAGTAAGCCCTCCACCACTTGAGCCTTAAATCAAGGCTGACTGTCTCTAAGACATGTTATTAAAGATTGTTCAGATGCTAGAGGGGCTAACCTGAGAGCTCTCCTTTCTGGGCCTACACAAGAAAACCAAACCAGGCTTTTGTTCCCTACCCAATCTACTTCCTATTAGCTCTCTGCTCCTAAACCCCAAAATCTTTTCAAACCACCAATCCCAGCCCTTACATGCAGAAGCACAGGCCTGCAGGGCAGACACAGGCTGAGGAACAGGAAAGACTCTATGAGAAAGCCAGCAGCCAAACTAACCCAAAGCAGACGGCTCTCTTAATAAAGTCGAGTGAGCAGCCACTAGAAGACACTGCTGTAGAATGGACTCAGCAGAGCGGCCCGGAGACCCACTGCTCCAGAGGAACCAACCTCCTGCAGGTAACTTGGGATCACCAAATCTCTCCCTGCCTTCTTTTCACTTCTCTGGATTAGAAAACCACCTAGTATCGCTTCTGTCAGCAAGGACAGAGGTAGAAGCTGGAAACTGCAGGAGCAGTAACAGGTGCTGCATCCATAATGACACTTGTTGCTCCTTCTCAAAAGAGCCATACGAGGGAAAGTTAAGAGTGGAAGTCAGGAGAGGCACTTGTCTGCATAATGGGTAGTTAAGGGCGAGAACAGCAGGGAAGGGTAAGAAGCAGAGTTTTAGACACAGCAAGGAACTGCCAGGTACTCGCCTTACCACTTCCAGTCCCAGCACTGTCCCTCGGAGAGAGCCGTATCGCAAGAGCCGCAAGCCTCCAGCATTGGTGGCCACATTGCCACCGATGTGACAACTGCCCTTCGCTCCCAAGTCGAGTGGCATGATAAACCCCTGCTCCTCCAAGTACTCGTTGAGTTTCTCTAAGACGCAGCCAGCTTGGCACACAAGGATTCCTGAAACATAAACATCCTGCTGGACATAAATGCCCTTCTGAGCTGATGCCCAAGAAGAAGGTGCCTCCTCAAGAGACGGGGTAAGTACAAGCAGATGCAACCCCTTCTTCCTCCAAAACTCTCTGGGATTGGATTTAAACAGACAAGCAGTTTGTGCACGCTACAGGGCATTGTCCTACCCCTCCTCAAGACGAGGTGAGCTTCACCATTGCCTTAACATCTGGTCATCCACAACTCTGGCCAAGTAAAACACAGTCACATGAAGTGTATCTCTGCCTGTTGTTCTCCCTCTTGGTTTTAAGAACTGAAATAATCAAACCAGCCTAATTCCTAAATCTCCAAATCCAATCAACCTTTAAGTTTTCCCCTTCCCTTTGCTAGCAAGTAGTTATCAGGTGCCTTCCTCAACACTGTAATTCAGCTCCACCTGCTGGTCTCTCATTTAATTTAGGAACAGATAATAGGATGTCCATGTTTCTCTTATCTCTTTCTTCTTTCTGCCACCAAATGTATTTTTACATCTGCTGATGTTATAACCTAAGGACTACATCAGCAGCAGGAGCCTGGATGAAACAAATCTCTGATGCCCCTTATGATGCCGCTAGGCTGAACCTTGCTGACCCCGCAGCTATCAGCTCCCAGGAAAACTGCTAGTTTAGGGGCTGGTGCTCATTTCTGTGCCTCACTTCTCTACAATATTTACCAGACACCTTGTCAAAGCTGATGATCCGGTTCATGAGAACAGTGGAGAGAATGATCTCATCAAAGACAGGAACGCTGCCTCCAACAAGGCCTGTGTTACCCCCCTGCGGGTTCACTGCCAGGTTCCTCTCATAGCAGTACCTGGAAGAAAAAGGTCTCTGAAGTCTTACGCATTTTAAGGCCATAATCCAGTCTACCAGAAGAGTTTCATGTCCACATGAGAGTCTACTCTTAAAAGAGCGCTCAACACTCCTTAAAATTAAGCAGCGTTTAGCCTAAAGATTCACTTGATACAAAGGGACAGCTTCACTGCAAAAGTGAGAAATCGTTGCTCCTCACTAAACTCACCCCAGCACTGAGCAAAGGAACAAGTTACAGGTTACCCCTGTGCACATCCACAGCTCTGCCACCAACATCTGCCTGGAAATCACAGCTCGCTCTGCTTATACGTAAGCTACTTATGTAGCACTCTCTGGTAACAACATGAATTCCTCAGTGGGCTCTGACAGCAGTTTAAGACATTACTGTCCTCCTCGTCCCCTCCATTAATTAATTAGGCAACGAAGCATGTGCACCTGTGCCTCCAGCCTGCCATATCCCTGTGAAGCACCACCTGTCCCATCCTCTCCAAACTCACACAAGGTCTTGCACAATGGATGGCACAAAGCTGGGCTGCACCAGCAGTTCCTTCAGAAGCCCTGACTTTACTGTGCTCCAGGAATCTGTTTTAAGAGAGCCAGGAGCAGGTTCACGCAGCTGGTAGCTCTTCAGCCAAACGGTGATCCTGCATACACGTGCCCTGCTGGAGCCAGGGAAGTGCTCTGAGTCAGTGGACAAACCATCACCTCCTCAAACTGCCCCACGCTGGCCTAACCTCTTTTAGTTTTTTCAGATGGACCCTCCTGAATGCCTCAACACAACTGCTCCTCTGGAGCACTGGTACAGTGTCTAATTCTGACAACTTAGTAGAGCAGGAAAGTTGTCAGTACTGAATCTACTGGCTTCTCTCTCCCCCACTCCATTTCTCCCCCCCACACTAAGCATTCTTAAGACTCTTCTACTCAAAGCCATCAACTTTGACCCGAGAACTCTGCTGCTGTCTGCTCAGCCTTTGCAAGGATATCTGGCCAGGAAAGATTAATTTGGTTTTGTAAAACAAATCCAAGTTCAGCCTTTGTTTCTGCCTGATCCTGACGCGACACCATCAGCCCAGAAAAGCCGAGGGCCAGGGAGAGCGCTGGGCCTGGGAAATATATGGCACAAGTGGAAGTCCCTTTCTGCCTTGAAAAATTTCAGCACTCTACGTGAAAACATTCCTAATTAGGAACCTGTAGGGTTTTTTTAGATAAGCAACACTGCCTACCCATAGGTACATGCATTCTCCCAGACTAGCAAGAGCATGCAGTGTCTCCCGTCCTGGGAGCAGCTGGAACAAAAGGTACCTCAGGAAACCCGGGCAGTCCAAGAGCAGTGGGGATATAAAGAGCAGAAGGGAGAGCTGGAGTCTCCAGAGCTCATCAGCAAGACACACAGTCAAGAAGAAAACAGCTTCAGCAACCCCAATGCTTGAGCGATCAGTGCCTGAACGCATAGATGTTCCCTTCATCTGCTGGACCCTCCCAGAATAAACCTGAGTTTCCTGCAGAAAAGCTGCACGTTACCTGAGAACCTGAGACACCTCTGCTGTCGTCTGCGGCTTCAACATCAGCTTGCTACAGCCTGCAACGAAAGCAAGGGACTCTCAAGGCAAGTTGTGGGATCTACAGAGGTCAGAAAGAAAAAGGTGGTAAAGCATGATGTCCAACATAACAACTCTCCCTCTACTGTGAGGTAGAGACATTTTAAGCAGTTTGAAAACAAACATTTTCAATAATGGGCTTTCCCTTAAAGCACTCTAAAGGCTTTGTCTGTGTATGTTGACTCGGTCACCAGTGGAGACAACAGGAAATGTTTTATGTTCTTGGTAAGATAGGGACAAGAGTGTCTTCTCAAACGGGTGATAAAATACGGATAAGAGTGTCTCCACAAACAGGAAAGTTCATTTAAATTGCAAGAGTAAGGTAACTGAAGGAAACAGGAGAGTTAATTGAAACTGCAGGACTGACACAGCTGAAAAATAGGGGAATTAACTGAAAATGCAAAAGCTAGACAATTATAAAACTGCAAAAGTTAAACTTTGATGTAATAGGCAGATCGAGAAGTCTGTACCTTCCAAGTCCCTCAAGCAATAGGGAAAGGAAGAGTGTTACATGGAGCCGGGGAATTAGGATTAAACTAAGGCTGCGTCCTCAGGAAAACTGAGAGCGCCCATAGGGGGATGCCCCAGTGGACTCTCCCTTTATTCAAATAGAGTCTTTGCATGACTCTGTCTCCTCTGTGGACATTGACCTCTGGCAACGGGATTTTCTGCACATTTTCATGAAATCTTTGACAAAAGTAACAGAAAAATCACGACACCCATTTTCTGAGGTTCAGCCACAACTTCAGCTTCTGCCCCAGTTTGTTTCAGGAAAAGAAATCAGTAAGTTAACAGGGCTCAGATTCTTTTTTTAACAAAAGCCTAAAAGGTTAACAGAAATTTGGCAGTTCTCAAAGGAATATTTTCTATTAGGAAAACTCATTTTGCCCGGTCTGTAAAGCCAGGGGCTGCTGTAGAGATGAGATTTTCCGTGGCAGGCTTTTCAGCCTGGTCCTTGGCGGGAGCCGGGCGCAGGCTTCGCCGACACCGCGACATGAAGGAGCGCGCTCACCTCGGACGGACCTAAGCCAGTCCACGTTAAACGGCGCCAGCTCCTCCGGGCTTGTGATGACTCTCCCGGGCATCAGGCCCTCGAAGAAGGCCAGGTCGCTGTCGGACAGAGGGGAGAAGGGCAGGCGCCGCACCCCGTACCGCTCGCTGGTCAGCATCACCTCCTGCCGGCCGGGGGGGGCCGTGCGGAGCGCTCTCCTGCCCCCAGGCCTCAGGCCCCACGGCCGGGAAACCGCCCCGGCGGGCACCCCCGGCGGCTCCCCCTGCTGCAGCGCCGCCGGGGCAGAGCTCCGCGCCAAGGGCCTCCTCTGGACGCTCCTCAGCCATCTCAGCGGGTCCCAGCGACTCCACACGCAGCGGTGGGGGGCCGCGGAGCAAACCCCCATCCTCGCCCTGGAAAGCAGAGGCCCAGCTCGTCTGCAGGCTCCCTCCCCCTCCTCTCCCGGAGGAAGCAGCCTGTGAGGGGCCGGGAGCAGGCCCTGCCCGTCTGACAGCCTCCCACCAAGCGCTGCCCGGGGCGGGGGGGACACCCATGGCCTAGCGCCTCACGCAGACGCTCTCCCGTGACCGACCAACCACCCACCAAACCGCAGCCGGACCACGGCAGCCTCACGCACCCCTCGGGGGACGGCAAACCCGCCCCGCTTCTGGGATCAGCAGCCCCGGGCCCGTCCCACCGCGGGGAGCGACAGCCGCTGGACGGCCCCCGAGCGGCGGGGCCGAGGGGCGCTCTGCCGCCGCGCCCGCGCACAGCGCCCCCTGGCAGCGGGAGGCCGCCGCAACGTCCCCCCCCCGCCGGATCCCACGGGTCCTAACGGCCG